CTACTTGGAAGGCTGAGGCAGAAGGATCACTGAAGCCCAGCAGGTCGAGGCTGTGGTGGCCGGGAGCAGCCACTGCACTCCAGTCTGGGTGACAGAGTGAGACTCCAACTCAAAAAAATAAATAATAAATAATAAATAAATAAAAAAGAAAGTGCAAACCCCAATCCAGAAAAATTACTGCAGACCTCACAAATGCACCAGACAAATGGGCGAGTGTAACCAAGTGTTTAAACAATCCAGCTTTGCAGTCTGGCTGTTTCCACTAACTGGCTGTGTAATTTGGGCAGATTATTTAACCTCTCTGTATCTCATTTTCCTCAGAAAGAAAATGGGATGACAGTAACATGTATCCCATAGGGTTATTGTGAATATTAAACAAAATAATGAATGTAAAGTTTTTAACACAGTGGCAGGCACTTTGAAAGAACCCAGTATGTGTTAACTATCACTATAATGATGATTACAAAATTTACTTTATGTGGAGGCCCAATAAAACTCTATGCAAGGAAATATCCTAAGGCAATGTGTGTGAAAATACATAACACGCTTTTGGAGACCCTGTACCAGACATGGGTCATTTTCAAGTATGTTATGAAGTCATACGTTTTCAAGAAAGGTTGGATATCCCATCAATCAAACAGCAGTATGTTCTTCCTTTTACCCTTGGAAGTCTTATGTCTCCAGATGTTTCTAGGTTTTTATTTTGCACCAATTCTGGGGAAATTTTTCAATTGAGAATAACTAGTAACCTCTCCATTTATTCCTCTCTCTTCTCCCTTATAGACTCTCCTCTTAATCCTCCTTTTTCCTTCTTCTCTTTCATACTCCCTTACTCTTTTCTTCTACTTGAAGCTCTCCATACTCTTTTTTAAAATATATTTTTTTATTTTAAAATTGTGGAGAACAGTTAAGGGTTAGGTATACAAATATTCATTGTGCAAGTACCCTTGTTGATGAAGTGTGCCCCCCTTTCCCCAGATACATATTGATTTCCGTTAATTCCACCTCTCTTCCCCTCTCTGCCTCCCCCCATAGTTTTCCACCACTGTCAATCCTTTTCTTATAGCACTTCCCCCTTATTCCATTTTAATTCCCTTTATTCCACTTCACTCCCTCCTGTTTATTCCATCTATTTCCTCTTCTTCATCCCCCATCATTTTTTTAATTTCATGTCACCTCCTTGTCTCTGTCGCATGTCATCCCCTCCTCTTTATATCATCCTCTCTTGTTTGTTCCACTCTATTACCTCCCCTTATCCCACAGCACTCTATGTCAGCTCTTCCCTTTCCCTTTACTTCATGTCACCCCTCCTCTTTATTCGACATCACCCACTCCCATTTATTTCTCCTCCCCATCTCCTTTTCCCCTTTAGCTCTTCAGTCAGAGCTTCCCAACTAGCCCCCCAAATTAAACACACACACACACACACACACACACACACACACAGTAAGCCATGAATATGCTGCTGTCACAATACAGATGTTTATTGATGACAAAACGCCAGAGAAGTTTTAACAATCACAAATCTTCGAGCTCTGCGGTTGTTACCCATTGTATGATCAATTTCTATCCCTCAATACAATGCATTCTTCATTCTATGGACGTTAGCAGTTGTTACCCATAATTTCAGCTATAATTTTGGATGTCATACATAACCCACACCTGTGAGTTACCGGAGCATGCCCGCAAATTTGTACCGTCCTGTACAGGGGAATTACAGAGGCGATAGATAAGAATGCTTGTAATCAGGTGACTTTAACTACTTGGAACTGTGTGTTCTTACCTAACTAGCTATTTTGTTGGCAACAGGGTATAGATGGCAGCTGTCTTTAAAAGTAATTCAGGTAATAACATCTAATTTTTCCTCTAACTTTTGACCCCAGAAACACTAGTTAGATTTGTACTTAAGGTTTCCCTATTGGCGTGACCTGAGCGAAACTGCACAGAATTTTGGAAGCGGTTGTTTGACGAGCCATCGGTCTAAATAATTTGGAAAAAAAATTCTGAGATGATGGAGTTGCTGCAGGGACACGGCTATGAGTTGGTGTGACATGATTTAGCATTAATTGTTTGTCAGCTGTCAGTAGGCTGACCTAACGTTCTAGCAAGCCTCTTGAGGGCCTTTCCAATTGAGCTGTTGGGAGGAGGGTAGGAAAGTCAGGAAAAGCATGCAATCCCCTTTGGGGGAGGGAAAGCACCTCGAGATTTGTGAGCTTCTCTGGGACACATGTTTACCACAAATGTCACATCAATTAAAAGGAGAACTGTAGTGAGAGAAGGCCAAGATCAGGGGTAAAAGGGAAGGTGAGGCAGCAGCAGGGAGCCTGGGCATGACACAGAAACATCTCTGCTTTTACCAGCTGAAGAGATCAAGCATCCCCAGTGAAGGGGCTGGCAGTGTGTTTGGAATTCCAGTCCTGACCCGAGCATCAGGTGGAACTGCTGCTGACCCTCAGACCTTTACCTTCAACATTCTCCCTAATGTATCCTGTCACATCTCAGGTCTGCCCCCACCCTTTTCCCCTGTCCGGCAACTGATAGAAGGAAAAACATCTAAGGAAGGATGTAGCTGGTGCCAGTTTTGGCCTCCTTGTCCCGGGGCACACGGAGCAATGGGCGGTCTTGCTCCAGAATGGGAGGGTTACCCGCTCCTTCCTCATCGTCAGGGGAACGGGCAGTGCCGGGAGGCACAGCTGGCTCCTCAGAGGAATCTGGAAAATAGTAACAATGTTAACTCCTTATGTTTCTAGACTTTATGCTTTGCACAGCACCCAAGGCACCAAGACCTAATTTGGGGTTTCAAATACAGTATAAGGCAAAAAGTTAGGGCAGGAATGATTATGTCCACCTGGCATGTAAGAAAACTGCAGCCTAGCAGTAGAACACAGATCTCTAAATCAAGGAACACTGTGAAAGCTAATAGAGGAGATAGGTTAGGGAAGAGAAAGAGTAAGGAAGGTGTCCATGTTTACAGCAAATGGACAACACCACCAGGGAGCCTGGGAAGAGGGTGACCTCTTAATAACCACCACCACCCTACAAGTAGCCTGACTAATTTTACCAAACAAATGAGTAACAAAGCTGGAGCCGAAAGCTTACAGCACTGCATGGAGGTGAGAAAGTCACTCTTCAGTGACTCTGAGGAGGACCTGTAGTCCATGACTTGGCCAGGCTGAGACTTGTTTTTAAGGAGAGTGGTGTCTACAGGAAATGCGACATCCGTATCTTCTTTATGGCACGGAATTGCTTTTGGATGCTGAACTTCTCTAGGGTCAAGATCTTTAGGCATTGGAACTTCTTCCACATTCATGACTTCTTCAAGATTGACAGCCAGGTCTTGTGGAGGGTCTGGAATTGTACTGAGGATGGAAACATCTTCAGTCTCTGGAGCCACAGTGGTAACTTCTTCTTCTTCTTCTTCTTCAAATCCATTGGCTTGGTTTTTCTCAAAATCTGGAATTTCGTTGTGAATTTGGGCATCCTCAGGCTCTGGGATAACATTGAGAACTGAGTCTTCTTCAGGATTGGGGTTTTCTTCAGAGTCTTGGTTACCATCAACATCAGAGGCTTCTCCAGGTCCTGGAATTTCTTCATCATCTGAGGTATCTTCATTGTTTGAGACACCACTCACCTCTGAGAATTCTTCCTGGTTTTGAATCTCATCAAAATCAGAGACATCTTCAGGGCTTGTGACCACATGGAGAGCTGGAACCTCTTCAGAACTGGGGTCTTCTTCAGAACCTGCATATCCATTGATCTCTGGAGCTTCTTCATGATCCGGGATTTCTTCAGTATCTGAGGCTTCTTCATTAATTGGGATCTCATCAAAAGCTGGGACCTCTTCAAAATTGGCATCTTCTTCAGAATCTGAGAGTCCATTAATCTCTGGTGATTCTTCATGATTTGGGACTTCATGACCACCAGGGGCTTCTTCAGGGCTTGGAACCACATGAAGAGCAGGAACTTCTTCAAAATCAAGGTCTTCTTCAGAGTCTGAAATACCATTTACCTGAGGGGCTTCTTCATGGTCTGAGATTTCTTCAGCATTTGAGGCGTCATCATGTGGAACTTCATCAACAGCTGGGACCTCTTCAAGATTGGGGTTTTCTTCAAGATCCTGGGTTTCATCATTATCTGAGGCATCTGCATAGTCTGGGATTTCATCAGTGTCTGGGGCTTCTTCGTTACCTGGAATTTCATCAGTATCTGAGGCTTCTTCATTATTTGGGATTACATCAAGATAAGGAACTTCTGCAAGGTCAAGATTTTGGTGGTTTTCAAAATCTGGTCCTTCTTCAAGGTCATGGTTCAGGTTTTCTCCAGGATTTTGGATTTCTTGCACATCTGGTGCTCCTTCAGGGTTTGGGACCATATCAAAATATGGTATATCTTCAAAGTCTGGGATCTCAATGAGTTCTGGAATCTCATCATCAGGTTCTAGAATATCCTCAAGGGGAGGAAGATCATCAAAATTCAGGGTATCATCATCATCATCGTCATCATCTTCTTCTTCCTCATCAAGCTCTGGTATGCCTTCAAGATGTGGGCCTTGAATCTCAAGGTCATTTGGAATCTCAAGACCTTGAACTTCCCCAAAGGCTATTCCTTGATTGACATATTCAAATACCTGCTCTTCATTGACTGGTACATCTTCCTCAGAGGACTCATCTTCCTCAATGGGCGCATCTTCAGCAAGGACCTGGCCCTCAGGTAGAGCCTGACCTTCAGCAAGGGACTGACCTTCAGCAAGGGCCTGACCTTCAGCAAGGGCCTGACCTCCAGCAGGGAACTGACCTTCATCAAAGGGCTGGCTCTGAGCAAGGACAGCAGCCCGGGCTTCAGCAGAGGTTTCCACTGGATCAGAAAGCAAAGCATCCTCTTCCATCTTTATGCGTGCACTCCTGAACAAAAAGGAATTTGAAAAAGTCAGTTAGTTTGTATACTTGCATTGATTAACATAAAGATGGTCTGTGATTGGAAGACCCCATAGGAGAATGTGCTTCAGGTTAAACACAAACAAACCAAAAAACAAAAAAACAAAAAAAAACACACACTCACTGGATTTTCCTCAAGTTCCTGCGTCTGATAAAATCAAGAGCTTCCGGGCTGTATCTCCAGACACGCTTAGCAACCTGTCTCTGAATGTGCGGAGGCACCTGGGAATAAAGTTAGCAACATTAACCCAATTTCACAGTATCTTTTCATTTATACTCATCTCTATCAGGACTGAAGGTACCATAACCAGCTAATGTGGGAGGAATTTCTAGACTGACAGATTTTGTGGCTGTCTTCTTTGGCTACCCTCAAGGATGCAGGTACAACTGCACCCTGCCTTGTGAGCAAGAGAGGAATGTGTAAAATAAGTGCATCCAAAACTTCCAACTACCTGGAAGAGGACATCCCAGTTATCAATCATGGCCCGGACCACATTGACAGAAGCAACATAGTGGTCAATCCCCAGCCTTGTTTTCCTGGATTCCCTTTGGCCAAACTTTCCCTTTTTCAGGAGAGCAGATCCAAACACCAAGGCCAAGTTGGTAGAAGTCATCCGGTTGCCTGGAACCTAGGTAAAGGAAAGCAGAAAATGATTGACCTTGAGGTAGTACTGAAAGTTGTACAAATACATTTCTCTTTTTATTATTGTTTCTCTCTCTTCTCTCTCTCCACACACCCCTTTGCTTATATCCTCCCACACATGTCCCCTACTCCAGTTTTACTACCCTTTCCCAGATCTCTTTACCAACTGTCCATCAACGCCAATTGAGTCCTCGCAGTTCTCAGTGACTTTATGCAAGGCCTTCAGCAGACGTTCCAGGGTGTCACTGTGGCAGGGTGGCATCAGGTAGACCAGCAACTGCAGGGCAGAAAGCTGGTCCTGGGGCTTCAGAGCTAGAGGAAGGAAAACAGTGGCTGGCTCAGTGGGTAGCTCTGGCAGCAGCTTGATACTACGGGAAATGAGATTATGCTTTAAAATTGCTGATATTTATGGAGAAAGTACCCAAGCAACTTGCCTTTGCTCATTTTCAAAGCATTTGAACTCAGGAGCCCTGACAGCAAGAAGTGCTCCCATCAAAATCAGACTTCCTCTATAGGACCTGGGTTCCTTATCACCCTAAGAGGGCATGCACAGCTTCAAAAAGCCCTTGAGAATTTTCTAAGCAATAGACTTACAGTGGAACATTGAGAGATACAAAGAAAGTAACCCAGAGTGGTTATATTACTAATTTTATTTTTAATTGACAAGTAATCATTGTATATATCCTGAAGAGGGTTTTTTTCATCTTCTTGTGTTCATTCTGCCTTCATTCTTTGAAGTTCTGCAACCTGAACTCTGTTTCTTGAACTCAAGACCCCTATAATATTTCTTTTCTTTGCCCAACAAGAGGGGGCAGAAGACTCACTTGCTGTCAGGAGGAATGACATGTATAGATCATCTGGAAGTAGAGAGTCCTTCATGTTATGGAAAAACTCCTTAAGGAGTGCAGCCACGTCATGCACATTCTGATTATCATCCAACACTATATCCAGACAGTGTTCAAATTCTTCACGGAGCTAAAGAAAAGGGAAAGAAAACATGGACTGTCTGCCCAGCCCACCACAGGCTCCTTCTTGGTCATTCCTTCAGCAAGTTCCAAGCTTCAAAGGAGAAAGCTGGCAGTAAGGTGTGCCTGGGGGCCTAAAAAGAAGACCTTGCTCCCCCACCAGGCAAGACACTCCTCTCAGGTCTATGGGGAAGCCCCCACCTCCTCCAGCTTTTTCTCACCCAAGGAACAAAAATGTAAACATAGTCCATTTACCTCAAACACTTTCTCCAAGGAGAACTCATCGGTGAAAATCCCCACTGCGCCTACACCTGAAAGAAAAGACCAGGGAATGCTAAGCACCTCTGATCCCCTTTCCATGGCATTTCCCTTCTCCCCCCCCCCCCCCCCCCCCCCCCCCCCCCCCCCC